AGGATGACGGCATTATTGCAGCGTACTCAAATATGACGTCCTTTATTAATACAGCGAATTTCGTATGAAAAGATGGGACAGCTTGTATATGACATTCTAAACCCCACGTGTCTTAAAGTACGTAAGCCATAGAAAAACATGGTGCAGCGTACTGTGTAGCCAGCGACGTTGTCATCCAGCAAGTTTCTAATCAATAACAGGCTAATAACGTCAGCATACTCTTTAGACTACTTGGCAACATGGGACTCCGTTCTTGCGTTATCACTGGCCACAAGGGAACTTCGAAACCGATGCTATCAAATACACGGCAATGTTGCCGTTTGGGTCGAGAGCGTGTCTAACCAAGGCTCTCTAGCGTTTATAATCATTTAAAAACGATTCTATCAACTTTATTATTTAACTGAATACAATGGAACAGCCCCTTCTCAATGAATGGGCCCACTGAAATTTTAGAGAGCGAAAAATGGTAGGCAGGACCTTCCAAGAACACTGTGCTTTTGTGAAAATTAACTATCGCAACCGTTTTTTATCCTCAACAATTCCTAATAGAAAGTGGTGCACCATTGGCAACGTCAAATGAATAGCTTGGGTACAGAGGACTATGCTGTTGCTGCATAAAGCTCGAATAATTCCTCGTAGGGAAAGTTTTGATGGGTGATAAGTCGCCTGACCTTGCTATTTGCTTGTCTCGGTAGATATGCTTGAGAATTAATGCCCGACCAAATAAACTTGGAACAGAGAACTGAAACTGGCAAAGCTTAAACAAGCAACGCTAACGACTCGGCTAAAACTCCTCTTGAAAGCACTTGGCTTGGAACAGCAAATGCGAAACGTTCTTTAGACGTTCGAGTTAAATAAACGACTTAAAATCCTTCACTTGGCTTGTTGGCGTAGCGTAGATGAAGGAATGATGAAGCTTTTCCATGCTCTCTGAAAATGGAACTCCAACTGAATTATAAAGCGAACATTTTAATAGGCACCAATTCAATGTATTTCACGATGGAATCGTAGACATCAATGAAACAAAAAATTGGCAATCGCGTTACCCACAATAAAACAATTCAATTCGTTTTCATTTACTACGGGGGTCTCCGTTTCTCCCACGCAATGAATTCATAACAAAACACGTGCTTTCATCCAATCAGTTCAATGTGTTAACAAAGGTCAAGTTCCTTCAATTTAATTGCACGTCAAAGTGTTTATTAAACGAGTGAAGCAAATTTATGCAAATATTTTTCGATCCAACGTTATTAAAACGGAACCTTTTCATCACACTCAATTGCTCATCTACCTGAACTCCAACAGGGAATTTTATACTGCTAACGAAAGAAAACACAGAACAACATTCACAGCAAATAACAGGATTATAACGATTGATTTTAAAACCAATGTTTGGACATTAGCTAAAAAGGGATCCGACTGACCGTTTCAACCACAATGACCATTTCGAAATGGATTTTTATGGGAATTGTACGAGATCAAACGACCGAACAGTGTCTCAGAAAAAAGTATGCATTCTTCAAAAAATTTAATCTGCCAAAATTCTTTACAATCAATTTATTCCAAATCAAATTCATTGACTCTATCAATCAAAATACGTTTCGGTGTATTTTTCCACCATCATAAGTTTTTATGTGTAGCGTTGTTGCTGTCTTAAGCGTGCATTTCTATGGTAAATAGAGACAATAAATGACTGAAACCCAGGAATACATTTGATTTGGAATTTACAAGTATTTTTTGTAAAATTTTTAAAGGATTCATAATCAAATCCCTTCTAGAAACTATGATAATTTCAAATTTCTACTTGTTCTTGCATAGAAGTTGGGCATTTTTAAATGAGAGCTTTCAGTTGGGATAAGTGGTAATTTTTTTTTACACTTACAAAGTTGACAAAATCAGGATCGAGCGAGATTTGGATGGCATTTTCAGAGGATTTAGAATCAAATCTTCTCTAGAAACTGTGAAAATTTCAAGTGTTTCCTTGTCCTTGCTTAGAAGTTAGGAATGTTTAAATGAGAGCTTCTAGTTGCGGGAAGAATTTATTTTTCAATCAGCATTCGCAAAGTTGGAAAAAATCAGAATCGAGTGCGATTTGAATTAAATTTTCAATCCCATCCGTTCTAGAACCGGTGAAAATTTCAAGTTTTTACTTGTCCTTGCTTAGAAGTTAGGAATTTTAAACTGAGAGCTTGTAGTTGCGGGAAATATTGATTTGTCAATCAGCATTTACAAATGGGCAAAAATCAGGATCGAGTGCGATTTGGATGAAATTTTCAAGGGATTCAGAATCACATCCGTTCTAGAAGCGGTGAAAATTTTCAGTTTTTACTTGTCCTTGCTTAGAAGTTA